TTCCCTTGAATACCAAGCACACAGAAAAAAAAACTTTGTATTTAGCAAATGATTAAATAGTTGAATGAATTAAATGGTACTGGAGAATTCCATGGGAATAAGGGTCATTTCTGCATTTCATAGCTAATATATGCCCAGCTCCTAACACAGTGCCTGCCACGTACATGGGATTTTATAAATATTGGTTGCTTAAACACTGGATGGCTTTGGTTTTGTTCATTGAAAGTGACTGGTGTATAGAACTCATGAAACTTTGTAAACAAGTATGATGTATTTTACACAACTTAATCTTTGGCGCAAAAATATCAAGATATCCCTAACTCTTCTAACCACTTATTATCTCAGTTAAGCTCTGTATCCATACTTCCACTTTCCCCACCCATCCTACAACTCATTCATGTCACATCTTTTACTGTATATAGCCATCTGTATCATACTGCATACGCTTTCGAATCCATGTCTTCTCTCTCCACTGCTCTCATTCATATTTTGGACCATGCAGCACAAGTGTATTGATCGTTTCCCATGTGCCAAATATTTGGCAAGCTTCTGGTCATGCAAGCATAGTGCTCATTAACCCCCCACTGGTCCCCACAGGAGTAAATTTTCTAGAGGAATAGATAAACATGAAAAGACATTATTTTAACAAGGCTAGTTAGATAAAGTACAGCATAGAAAATATAGTCAATAATATTGTGATAACTATGTATACTGCCATGTGGGCACTGGAAATACTGGGAGGAGCACTGTGTATAGAATGTGATTGTCAAACCACTCTGCTGTACACCTGAGACTAATACCAATAATACTGAATGTGAGCTGTAATTGAAAAAACATTTGCATAGAAACACAACATGAAGTGAGTGAAGTACTACTGACACAGAGAGCGGAATGCGGAGAGAGTTCAGAGACGTTACTCACAGCTTTCGCCTGTGCTTGGAGTGCTGCTCTCCCGTGTCTCCCCTCTTGCTTAATAGCCGTTAATATTCTCTTTATTCTTTAAGACCCAACTCAAGTCTTTCTTCAGCATGAAGTTTCTCTAAATGTTTCCTGCTTGATCTCCCCCCACTCCCAGACCCTGATATGCCTTTCATAGTACTGGTTGCAATTCTCCATGAGGCTGCACATACCTTTGGTTAGGAATTATGTCCTTCCCATTGTCTGTGTGTGTGCCCTCACGTGGTTCTTGAATGGTGTGTGCAGTGCAAACACTGGGGCAATACTTGTCCTCAGTCAGTCGAGAGGGGGGTCCTGAGTCAGCCACCAGCGTCCCCCAACTCACCACGTGACGTGTTTCCTCTCAAGGATCTCAAAATCATTTTGTCTGCAGTTCTCTACCTGTGTGTCATGGTGGGTTGCCATGGCTACCAAAATGCAATTGAAAAGTTACTCTCTTACTTAACGTCTTTCTTTTGAATTCAGAATGAGGAGCTGATAGATCAGCTAAATGGACGATTTGTCTTCTAGTCAGAAAACTGTTTGCTTTGTAGTGGAAATCCACTCGCTGTGAACATATTCCTTGCATTTGGAAATGCATGCTTTTATACTTGGGGTTTCTAGATCTTTTGTTTCTATGTATTTCTTTCCTGGATGCCGAAAATTGATTTTCAAATCATAAGAAAATATTCAGGCTTTATTTTCAGATACAGTTTGTTGTGTTTAAAGTGTTCTTTGTGTCTCGGGTGCATGTGCTGAGGGTCTAGAGATGCATCTGCCTGTAAGAAACAGAGAGCGCATCCCACTGCAGTTGGTGGGTGATCGCTGCCCTGAAGTCACTCCGCCACACATACGCGTGCCGAGAATGTGAAATATTGCCTTTATTTCCTCTCTGTGTGGGACAGACGGGTCTCATACCTTTGAAATGGGTGTTTTTATTTCTTTTGATTAAAACTACTTAATTTCACAATCTGAAATGGTCAGTGTTTTCTTAACAGCAAATTAAAGCCAAAACTTTGCCAATGCTTTTGTGACATATTCCTCAATTTGAAATCGTTTTCTAAACAAGGCAGCTCTGTGAGAAATCTGTCCCTGACCTACATTTTTATCCAACCTTACGCAAAGAAGAGAAAATCCCAAGAGAAAGCAGATTTACACCTCTGACTCGTATACCCTGTGAATAGCCTTAAGCATATCCAGACCACATTTCAAATTCTCCCTCATGGGCTTGGAATAAGACGAAGAGAAAAAGGAAGTTAAGAAGAAGTCAGCAAGTACCTATTTCTGTACTGTTTACTATTCAGGTGTCTCTAATTTCATTTCTCTGTTAATGAAAATTGCATGAGGGCGGACACATTGTTTTATTCTATGCTGCGCTCTCAGGACCTCAAAGAGTTCCTGGGACATGATTTAGTGACTAATATTCAAGGGTGAATAGATGAATACAACTATTTTGAGTTTGAGTCAGAAGTGCAATTTTATATTTGTAGCACCTATTACAAATCCTAAAATAATGTGTTTTAAATTTTATATTAGTGTTAATTAGCAAGTCAGAAACACAAGCTCCTTTTAGTATATTCTTAGGAAGTGCTTTTAACAAGTTCACTACTACCGCCTAACTTCTCATCTTGAAAAATTGCCTTTCCACTTTGCCATAATTGCAGGAACCAGCCACAGACAGGTGATAGAACCGCATTACACTACTAGCAATGGCGTTGCCCCTGGTGTGGCATATGTGCAAGACCTCAGTATACGGCTGGGAGACAGTGTCGGGACTAAAAGCAAGGCCTCTTTTACAGCCGAGTAGCATTCCAGTGTGTAAACGTCCCATAGTTGTTTTATCTGCTCAAATACTGATGGACACTTGGGCTGTTTCCATATCTTGGTGATTGTAAATAATGCTGCAAAGAAGAAAATTTCACCCTTTGTGACAGCATGGATGGACCTGGCAAACATATGCTAAGTGAAATAAGCCAGTCAGAGAAAGACAAATACCATAGGATTTCACTTACACGTGGAATCTAATGAAGAAACTGAACTAACTAGCCAAACAGACAGACATAGAGAGCAGGCTGATGACTGTGGAGGGGTGGGGCGCAGCTATAGGGTGGAAGAATGAGCCCATAAGAAAACAGAACTCATGGACATGGACAGGGGTGTGGTCACTGCAGTGGGAGGGGAGATTCAGGGGGATAAATAGTCATGGATAATTCAATAAAAAGACAAATTAAAAACATAAAGTAGAACAGCAAGTTGTACTGGAAAAAAAAGGCAAAGGCCTTGAAACAGCTAGATCCAGGTTCAAATTCCAGCCCTCACCCTGCCGAGCTCTTTGACGTGAACAATTACTTAATCTTTCTAGGCCTTTGTGTCTTCATCTGTAAAATGGGCATAAGAGCATTTCCAACTGCTAAATTTGGAATAATGAGCAGTTGAGATAATGGGGTGTGCGTAAGTACATGTCTCAGTGTAATTGTTTCCAGCCTCAACTGAACTGTGAGCAGATGTGTCTGTTTTTAGTTAAGAAGCTAGTTAAAGACCTTTACTCAGCTATCTGCAAAACTGAGTTTTAGGTCTGTACTGTGTCATTTGGAATATCTCTTTATCTGTCCAGCTCTTTTTCTTTCCACTTTTAAAACTAGGGCATATTTAGTCTGATCTGTCTACTTAACCAGGATTTAATAACAGCTAAACTAACAAATGAGAGAAGAAAATATCTTCGAATTGTTTAATAAAAGGTGTCACAAAACTCAAACAGACCTCTATACATAGTCTAGACTCAATTTAAACCAAATCTGACATAAATCCATTATAAGTACAGGCCTTCGTGGTCTTATACTTTGTGATAATCTAAAAGACTAAAACCTTTGGCTGATGTGACAAGTTCTAGAAACACTTTGATCAAAACAGAATAAACTGTATTCAGAAAATAACTGAGCATTGGCCTCCTTGTGGTAATCATCTCCATGAATGAGATGTTTGGTACTATGCTCAAAAGATGTATTTCCTGTTACACAGAATTACAAAATGTGCCACTTAGTGTAACTGTCCTATTTCAAAACACATTCTCCAGGAATTGAAGTAAGAAAACCTTAAGTATACAAGAATTAAAGTTAAATGTTTAAACACAGGAAATTGAAAATATGAGGCAATAATAGACTTGCAGAATTTTAGAGATCTAAAGGAAGTTAGAGATACCTAATCCTTTTCGTCATAGATGAATTTCTTGGTATTTAAAGAAAAACAAATATAAATTTTTTCTAACAGTAAATGTTCAATGTATGTTTGGTCACTGATGAGTGCATCGTTTTCTTTCTCTAAAACAAACAAACAAAGATAACAATATATCCAGTTAGCAGGGCTGAGAGATTCAAACAGAATTCCAGTTATATTGAATGAGCTATTTTAATCACAAGATTTTAAAATATTAAAATATGAGTCGGAGCAGAAATAAATTCAACTTTTGGCAATATTCATAAAAATATATTTTATTTTTAGATTCTGGACTCTGTGACATCCAATTGTAACACGCAGCATAAGTAGAAGAAAAACACCAAAAAGTTTGGAAATGGCTAACACAATGATTCCACAGAGGGATCAAGATGCCAAAATCATACATCTAGATTGGGTCATGCAGAGTGACCGGAGTCCTGAATTGATATAAACAGTGAAGAAATATAGAAAAAGGAAAATATATTTTTCTGAAATAGCAGAGCAAGCAGTTGCTTACGTTGCCTTAGTTGTTTTTCACTGCTCCAGCCTTGCTCACTGTTAACACGGGATCCCCAGGATTCAAATACCGGGTCCTGAGACAGGAAGCTTGTGCTTCTGAATTTATATCACAGTTCAGAACTTTAATTTTTTTTTTGCAGAAAAGATAAGAAAACTTATTGCAGTCACTCTTTAGAGGAACATTGGCAAATACCTGAGCAAACTAGTTTTGAGAAAGTTACAACCAGCATAGACTTTTTAATATTCTGTGTAAAATTAAATGTGTGCATGTGCCTGTCAGATTTCTATGCATGTATCTAAACAGGAAACATCTTTTCTTGTATTCCTTCTAGGGCTGTCAAAAAATACAAAACTTTAATAATGTGGTACCTGACAACATGAACTTGAGTTTTTTCATAGCTTTGGTTTCAAATAACGGAGATTACACCTGCGTTGTTACGTATCTGGAAAATGGGCGGCAGTTCCACCTCACCAGGACTCTGACCGTGAAGGTGGTAGGTAAGCGTGATTCCTATTAAGTGCACGTGACAAAAACTCAACACTCTTGTTTTGTCTGTTCATAGTTTAGTTCCCACAAGTGTGTAAAATATTTAGGAAAAAAAGCTTAAGTTTTTTGTTTATTGCACTGTCCCCAGAGCCTCCAGCATTTCCCCGTGCATAGTGGGCATCTAGTAACTATTGGTCTAGTGAATAAATATGTGAGTAAGTGAAGGAAAGGCAGTGTGAGCAGTGAAAAGAGTTGCAGACAGATCTGTGTTCAAATTACTCTCCTGCCACTGATGAGCAGTATGGTTTTGATCAAAGTCTCAGTCTCCTTGTCTGGACTATGCTACTTGGACTATCTAATGTTCTCGATAGCTTAGAATATTAGAAATAATATATATATTATGCTAATGTAGCTCCAGGCAAGCAATAGAGACTCAATGAATAGTAGTTAATATTATTGTCCAAAAAGTGTTTTAATCAAATTAAGCAAGCTATATATTTGTACAGACTACTGTTTTAGTTAGTGCTGAAGGTGTCTGTGGCTGTGCTCAGCCATTGGTTTGCACTGAGACGAGGGGAAGAGAAGCCGGGAGAGTGGAAAGGACAGAGTGCCAGCATCGTGGTGTGTGGGGGAGAACCCTACAGCCCGCGGTGCCCACTGTGTTAAAATGAGAGCACATCAGAGTGAGATTTTGTCAAACCGCATCTTTTCTTAAATAGAGGCAATTTATTATCATCTTTTAAAAATATCTTATAAATCATTGCTATAAAATATTTGCACATTTTTGTGAAAAAGAAAAGTTGAAATTCTATCTTTTAATAGATGGAAACATTGAGTCCCCCAAACAGAAAGTAACCTGTTTAGTCGGAGACAGTCAATGCATTGGTAGAAGTCATTCTAAATCCCAGGTTTAGGACTTTTTGTTCAAGGCTTTTCTACCAGCCTGACACCAGATTCAGCATATGTATTTCTTTAAAAAGGGCTTTAATATAGTGTAAATAAATTCAAATCAAACACATTTGTAATCACTTTTCCTCTTTCTCTGCTTACTTTTTGAATAGTGCTGAGCTGGGGACTAATTCAGAAGAAAATTCAGACTAAATTTAGAACCTAATATGAATGGACTTCAATAGTCAAATGAATAATCTGACCTTATATTCATCTTGGCAGTGGTTTTTAGGATATACATTTAAATGCAGGGGATGCTTCAATATGCATTACTTACTTTAATCCTTATAATGAACCTGTAAGTGGAGTTTAATTACTTTCATTTTACAGTTGAGGAAAATTAGCTTTTTAAAGATTCAGTAAAAAAAATCAGATTCATATGGTTAATATATGGCCAAGTTGGGATTAGAAAACTCTGATCATTAAATATTTGAAGTCTGTACTCTTTTTAAAAAATATTTTCTTAAAGATTTTATTTATTTTTAGACACAGGAAAAGGGAAGGAGGAAAGAGGGAGAAAAACATTAACGTGTGGTTGTCTCTTGTGCACCCTCCTCTGGGGACCTGGCCGCAACCCAGACATGTGCCCTGACTGGGAATTGAACCAGCAGCCCTTTGGTTTGCAGGGCAGTGCTCAATCCACTAAGCTACACCAACCAGGGGTGAAGGCCATACTCTTAAATAATTTATGAAGCTCCTTCAGGATATTTTCCATTCAATTTTGGAGTACTGAATGTTATAAAGAGCATCAGTTCTATGAATGAACCTTCAACTGAAAACTAGACATCAGGTGTACTTCTGTGCTGAACTTACAATTATGCTTTCAAATTTTCCACTTATTCATTTAATATTTATTTACTTACATCTTATAGAATATGTACTCTGGGTATGCTGAGGAGAAATATATAGAAAACAAACAATTGAGCAAGACTTGAGAGCAATTAATTATGATACAGTATGAGAAGTTTAGCTCATGTAAACTTTGAAAAGCAAAAACACTAGTTAAATACTCCATTCTGAAATATGGAGGATTATCAATATATTATGTTTGTTTCTTTGCTTGTTTTATATGACTGAAATATTATGGTTGACTATATGTTGGACTCTGAGCCTTCTCAAGAAGAATTGACAAACTATACCAGGAAATTGAGCAAGGCTTCACAGAAGAGAAGATTTTTGAAATGAGTTAAAAGGGATGAAACTGCATGACTTAACATCATCTCCCTTTGTTCTTTATGCTCTCACAGGCTCACCAATATATGCATTGCCCCCCCAGATCTATTCACCCAATGATCGTGTGGTCTATGAGAGAGAACCAGGTAATTATAGCTGTGCCTCTAAATTTCAGTTAGTTTCTCTTAATTATAAGGAATGAAATGCCACACAAGTTCCCACAAAAGAACAGAGGACTATTGTTAAAACACACACACAAACACACACGCTCACTGAAACTGATGTCATCAGAAAGCAAAGCAGCTCAGCTCTGGGCATTAGCCTCCTCATAGACCCCATGGGGAGCTCGGGGATTCTCTGTTTCTGTCTCAGCAGCCACCGCTCTCTTCTTCCTCTGCTAGTGGGTTTCCTCTCCTATTTAGTAATTCTCTTTGATGCACACTGTAGCGGGCACAAAGCTTTGGTTTGCCAAGGCAGCGACATGAGCACAAGGCATCCTTCGAGCTTGTTCCACCACAAAGGGGCGGGGTTGGAGCTTGGAGTCAGGACTGTGAGTGTAATGGGTAACAACTGATACAACTAATACACCCTGATCTAGAACACTATAAAATGTTTGCTATGGCTGTCTGGGTCTCTTTGTAGTTTTCATAATTTTTTCATTAGAGAGAACTGGGTCTCTTTGTAGTTTTCATAATTTTTTCATTAGAGAGAAAAATCACCTGCTACTGACCAAATAAGGTACAATTTATTATTTTTCCTTTTTTAAAAATATTTTATTATTTATTTATCTTTAGAGGGGAAGAGGGGGAAGGAGAGAGGGAGAGAAACATCAATGTATGGTTGCCTTTTGTGCGTCCCCTGCTGGGAACTGGCCTGCAGGGAACTGGCCTGCAACCCAGGCATGTGCCCTGACTGGGAATTGAACCGCAATCGTGTGGTTCGCAGGCCCGCGCTCAATCCACTGAGCTACACCAGCCAGGGCACAATTTATTATTTTTCTAACTTGTATCCCCCTGTAGTTAACCCCTATGTATCTCCTGCTACAGTATCCCCCTATGGTCTATAAACCACAGACAATTTTAACATATTCTGGATTGTATCTTTTACCAAAAAAATTACAGCAAACCAATGTGACCTATAAAAGAACATTTGTATAAAATGAAATAAAGGTAGTAGAGGCAGTGATCAATATAGGTAGAGAACAACAACACCCCCCACGTACAAATTAAGGTTTCAAATAGTGATCTGCCTTATAAAAACACAAAGAGCACACTTAAAGGCTCTGTCAACCCCAAATGGACCAAATTTTCTTGAATTAGTGGTGGATTTATACAGTAATATGAACGTTATTCCAATTATCAGGTTAAACTTAATCATCTAGATATGTTTCATCTTCCTATCACATTACAGTTGCAAAAGCATGCCTGAATCTATGTTCACTTCATCCTCCTACATATTAATACAGACAACTGGAGGGGAAGGGATGAGAGCCATGCATGGGAAGAGAGGACAGAGTGTCAGCACTGAGGGAGGCAACCTGAGTTCAAATTAGAATGACAGTCTAATTTATCATCTCAACCTGTACACTGTTTGAGACTGAAAGCAGTCGATATTAATAACTAACTAGGAAAGCAAGCCTAAAACTTAACTGTCTAAGGCAACCCTAAATAGAACAAGGTCATTCTAGGCCAAATTCTCATCTTATTAACAGTTTCATCTAAGACTAGCATTTCACATCTCTAAGCTTCAGTTTTTGCTTCTGTAAAAAATGAATTTTAAAAATAGCTCATAGTATTTTGTTAAAATTAAATGATAACAATAATAAGTATACATATTTAGCATAGTGAGTTATACAAAATTCTCAGTGAGTGCGCTGTTGTTTTTGTTATTATTACTATTACTACCACTATTTTCTGCCAAGAAACCCCGCAACCTCATATTCCATCTCGAAGGATAAGGTAGATTTCTCTTTGTGAATTGCCTTTCAACTTATCGAGTGCACCCTGGTAACCGGAGCACCTCCCTATGAGCCTGTGCATCCCGCCCTCTCTGCAGTGGCACCTTCTCACTCTATCTGGGCTACAGACCAAAAATCTGGGGAACCGTTCCTTAGTCATCCTTATTCTTTCTGAGGGAAATAACAAAGAACACTAGTCCCTGGAGGTTTAGGTCTAAAAATGACATTGTCAGAGCCTTTTTGAACAAAAACTATCATTTTAAAACATATAGATTGTATTGAAAGATGGTCACTTTAAAAAGTTATTTCATATAAAGGTTCTGTTTTTCTCCTCTTGGTTTGTTTGGTTTGCAGTAAAGTATGGTACATCACCCTATGGTAGCCCACTAGAAACTTAGTGAGAAGTAAGATTTTAGGTGCATTTAACATTTAGAGCTTATGATTAGCCACAGAGTAGAACAAATATAGCCATGCTAAGTTTACAGACTAATGGGTTAATTTTTTTTTAGGAGAGGAGTTACTCCTTCCGTGTCAAGTCTTTTTCACCTTCCTGAAGGACTCTCACAATGAGGTCTGGTGGACCATTGATGGAAAAAAGCTGGAGGACACCACTATTGAACTAACTGTTAATGAAAGGTATTATTGATGCAGTCAAGGGGGTGACTAACCCTGTCCCTCAATCTAATGCACTCTGGTGTGTACTAATCAATGAAAATAAAAATTCTGATGTTTGACTATCATTAACAAAAATCAGCAAGATTTTCAAGTTGTTATTGGCTGCATCCCAAAGAAGGATGACTGATTACTGGACTTGCAGTCTGAAGTCCAAATGCCATCTGATTATCACACATTTACAATATCTACTTGTAAGTAGATGGAATGCATGTCCTGCATGAATGAGAAGGCCACACTCTACAGGTCAATTTATTTCAAAATACACATGATTTTTTAAAGGGAGTAGGCTAGCAAGGAGGAAAATATGGGTCTTGAAGACAAAAGATTCTTCAGTAAATGAAGCATACAACTACCAGAGAGCAATTGGTTCACTGCAACAGTGAATAAAAATTAGCAGCTGGTCAACTACATGACAAAGTAGTTCTAAGACCCTAAATCTTGTCAGTAATGTGTAAGTAGATCTTAGGCTGCTAATACTTCCAGAATTCAAAAGATATTTCTTTCCTAATAGTAAATTCAGACTTTGTGAGGATGTTATAAAGTGTTTTCTTTGCATCAGTTACTATGCCAGATACTTGTTGAGTATATTTTATAGGAGTAGCCAATGACAGAGCAGAAATTTCAATACTCTAATCTGATGTATGCAGAGGCTGGGAAGTACTACATGTTATAGGGAAATGGAGTTGGGGATTCTAGTCAGTTTTAGGGATTAGGTAATGCTTCCCAGATCTCAGAGAACCTAAATAAAGATTTGAAAAGGTGAGCAGAAATTAACTAGGTAAGAAAATCAACAGAATGTTCCTGGTAAAAGGAACATCATGTGCAAAGGCCTGGAGGTGAGAGAAGCAGACATACTTAGAGGTACAGAGGAGCCTGCTGAGACTGGAACAGTTTTTGTAGGATGAATTGATGAAAGACATGGCTGGAGGCACAGAGGGAGAATTACAGATGATTTTAGGAATTCTGAGAATTGTGCTTCTTATCGTTATGCTGGTGATGGATGAATAATAATGAGAGTCATGACATTTTTCCTTGCTGCTGGTGAAACACAACTCATGACGCACACTTGAGCAGTACAGTTCCACTTAGGCTAAGCCCAGTACAGTCTTTAACCAAGTTCTCATGATGGACAGTAAGTTTTAGCAGAACCTGGATATCAGTGAGCTGTAACAGATTTTCTTCTTTTTAAATAAAGTGGTTTAAAGGGAAATTTTGATCTTAGACCCAAAGCATTTTATCTGTGACTTGCTGAGATTTAGATACATTTATTTTCACCAAGTTTACTTAGTTGGAGAAGTTTCTTCTTCTTATATGTTAGGATTTTACATGAGATTTTAGTATTTTGACCGAAAGAGCCTGCTTGTGTTCAAATTCCAAGTTCTGGGAATCCCTGAAATGCATCAACTATTACCGAGGGATATTAGTGGCCTATATGAAGAATATGAGCATTTACTCAGTATTGTTCTAATACTTACACATCAACATACTCAATCCTCAGAATTCTTGAGTAAATTAGTATGTGTAATGCATTGTTTAGGGATTGCCACCTTCCTCTTTTTCAGACAAGGATCTCAAAACATGGAAAGATTAGTTACTGGGCTGAAAGCATACAGCCAGTAAGTGGCAGAGGCTGGATGGAAACCTAAATGGATCTGGCATCAGAATCTTCTCTCTAAACCAATATAGCATCCTGGCTCAGAAGTTTGAGGAAGGAGACATTTTGCTTTGAAGAGAGTTAGCGAGATCTCTATCTATAGTATGATGTCAACAGAGAGATTCGATCCAGGTATTGGGTTTGTATAGAGTATAGATGGTGAAGAATAGTATTAAAATCTAGAGCCATTCTCCTTTTGTAACTGTGGGATTACAAAGCCACACAGATTATCACCATTCTATCTGTCCTCACCTATCGGCTCTCTGGTTGCTTGACTGAGTCACACATAGTCCATGGCCTAACATTCTAATTTTCTTTCCCCTATTTCTAGTACAAGTTGGTCCAAAATAGAAGATGAAACAAGAACTCGAATTCTGAGCATCAAGAAAGTTACTGCTGAAGATCTCAAACGCAGCTATGTCTGTCATGCTAAAAATGCTAAAGGGGAGGTTTACCAGCCAGCCAGGGTGAAACAGAAAGGTAATGGATGCATGCACCTGGCGGATGAATCTGGAAATACCAACATAAGATGGTGGTGATGAAGAAAAATGGGATTCATAACATGGGCTCCAGCACTTAGCACAACATTCACCACGTAGTAATGAATGGAAGTTGAATGAAAAATCTTGAGGAAAAGTTTCCATCTATGCAAATATACTAAAAATAGTTATAGTAATTAGTGCTTAAATGTGACTAAAAAGTCCATGATGATAATGAGGCATAATTTCATATTTATATAGTCCTAAAAATGAATAATTCAGAAAATATTTAAAGCTACCAAAGATATAATAAAACAGAGTCACATATTGTTAGTGAATTGTAAAGACCTTTTTTAGAAATCATTGCTAGCAGAGTTCATGGCATAGAAATGATCACACTATGTGACTTAATATTTTTGGAATTTTTCCTCAATAAATAACAGAAAGAGGATCATGCACCTATCTATATTCTTAGCATTATCTATAATAATGAAACATTATAAATACCAACCATCTAATTGTATGCAAGTTAAGCTAGATGTAAAATATTTACTCTCAAAAATATAATTTTAAAAATGATCACTTCAAACACCATGTATCAATATTCAAGCAAGTTTATAATATACCATTATGCACAATTGCTAAAACAAAAATTATTTAAACTATGATATGAAATGGTTTCTATGTTGATAATACTATATTTTTCTATAATAAATGAAAATTTTGAGGCTTCTTGTGTGAGCTGTTGTTCCTGAAACAGACCATGTCTAAAATCATTTTTGGTTCTCTTAGAATACCAGAAAATTAATCCCTTTGAGAATGTTTTTCAGTAATCTAGAGAAAGATAATGATAATTTATCATTCCTGCAGTCAGGTCATTCAGAATTATTTTGGATCTGGATGACAGATAGTACCTACACTATTTATATCAAAAGTTTTTGTTTTAAAAAGCTAATTCATAATTGTTACATTTTTCAATGAAATTTAAGTCATTTAAAAGCTGATGAAAAAACAGGCTTCACCTTAGGATTTTTATTACAATATAGGAAGTAAAGTGCAAAGGCTGAAAGTATATATGCCTCTTAGGAAGTCTCACTAGATTAGTTCTGGATAGTTCATCACCTCTGTTCCTTCAGAAGTCAATGTAAAGAGAAAATACTCAACTACATGTTATTAGATGGCATTTCTCAAAGTTTTTTCCTTGTAACACTGCTAATACTCTAGATTCGGGTGGTCTATGTTCAAATTCTGTTTTTATGCATCCCAACTCTTGGAAGAGATGCTTCACCTCTCTGAGCTTCAATTTCTTCATATTGAAAGCAGGCAAAATAGCCATGGCTGGTATGGCTCAGTTAATTGGAGTATCATCCCAAACACCAAGAGGTTGGGAGTTTGATTCCTGGTCAGGTCATATACCTAGGTTGTGGGTTTGGTCCCTGGTCGGACACCTGTAGAAGGCACCAATCGATGTTCTTCTCTCTCTTTCTCTTCCTCTCTCTCTAAAATCAATAAAACTATTTAAAGTGGGAAAAATAATACCACTTAATCATAAGATTGTTTTAAAGTACTCAGTACAGTTACTGGCATATAGACATATATTAAATGCAAAATAAATCTTATCCCTTCTTATTATTTCCACAAGATTTTCATAGATGTTATTTGACAAAGGCCTGTATAGTCAAGGAAGTATCTCTGAAGTCTAGGTTAAACAAAATCAATCACATTACTTTAGTTCAGGGACCCTTAGTATCTTTAGCATATTAATATTAGGTATGAATATCTGCAGGGGGTTGAAATACAGTAGGCAGGATTTTTTCAAGTACATTGGACTCCAAATTCTCTAAGTATGGATCATTTTGTGGGACTCGTCTTCATCGGCACAGGTTTTGGGAAACAATCATGGAGGCAGGCATAAATTAATAACTTAATGTCAGGTGGAAAAGATCAATGCAGCCAATTAAACTAATGTTGAATCAGGAGTGATATAGAAATCTATTCACCAGAGCGAACTGAGTGGTTCCCCTTTCACAGAAGGGCTTGCTCTGGATGGTTTAGTATGAGTGGCATCAAAAATGTGAACAGATTTTCTATTCTTTGTTGATTTTCAAAATTTCATTATGATATTTTTTGAGGTTTCTTTTTTAATGTGTCTTATTTAGGGTTCTTTAAACTTCTTGGTTTGGTGAGTTTATTTTTTAATTTAATTTGGAAAACAATTAGGCATTATTTTTTCAAGTATGTTTTGCTCATCCTTTCATTCATTTATTTTTTTGTTTCCTTCTAGTACTCCAATTAAATTTACAATTGTGTACTTGGCGTTGTAGCATAGCTCACTGAGGTTCTCATTATTTTTATTTCATCCTCTCCACCCTGTGTTTAATCTAGGGTAGTTTCTAGTGTTCACTGTTTATTTCTTTTTTGATATCTAATCTGCTGTATTTTTTATTTGAAACTTTTATTTTCCAGTTTTTGAATTTCTATTTCTTTATTAAAATATCTATATTGATATTTTCTATTTGCTTTTATAGTATTCTTGGTCTCTTTTTAAAAATCAACAAATATATTTATAATACTCATTTTTATGTAGAAAAGCAATTTATTCCATTATAAACACATTGCTAATCATGGAGAATAACAGGCCTGCCCAAAACAGAGATAATATCACACCGGTGTTCAAGAACTAATTCTTGGGGGGAAAAAAGCAACTTGTAACAATTCATTCTTCTCAACTGACAGTCTACCTGTCAGGTAAAAACATACTTGGTAGCCCCAAGTTTAAAAAAATTACAGAAAGGAAAAAAATAATATGAAAACAGCTCAAGAAATACATTAACAAGCAAAAATACATGGGGAAAGAGAAACACATAGTTTTGACTTAAGAAACTGAACTCACAGTTATTAAGAACCACACCTAAAATGAAAGCAAACTAAAAGGACAGCTAGATCAGGAGTGGAAACATAGAAATGAAGATCTCAAGGAGGGTTAGCAACAGGGGAGTGGGAGGAGGAGAAGGGGGGAGAAGGTACAGAAAATAAGTAGCATAGACAGTAGATAGAAAATAGATGGGGGGAGGGCAAGAATAGTATGGGAAATATAGAATCTAAAGGACTTGAGACACATGGTCATAAACTAAAGGCGGGGTAATGGTGGGGATGGGGGGTAGGGTGGAGGGGAATGAAGGGGGGAATAGAACAACTGTAACAGCATAATCAATAAAAAATTTTTTTTTAATTAAAAAAATAAAAAATAAATTAAAAAAAAAAGAAACTGAGTCTACTTAGGAAAATGTGCATCCTAGAAGGTCAGGTGTGAAGATTTTAGAGTAGGAATTTATATGACTGAAATCTCCCCTAATTCCTGAATAAAAGCAACATCTTGCAGGACGTATACTTCATGGCTCATATACTACTTCACTTGGCTCTATTCCATACTTCTATCCTTTACTTAAATGAGTCTAAATAACCTGGGGATATAGCATAAGAAAAAAATACCCATAATATTCCCTTTTTAGTGGCTACTTTGGATCTCTGTTACGAAAAAATTCCTGAAGAAAATTTAAATATAAGTCAGTGCCTTTGCTCATAAACCACCCAGTTAATATTTAGAAAACACCCTGGGTTTAGCGTAATAGCATTATTGATGGTACCTACTGTAGAGAGATAACTGAACAAAGTCTGCATCTCAAAACCAGTGTTAAATCAGTGTCAGGGTTGAGAGGGGGGAAAAGAGGAGTCTAAAATCACAAGAGGTGCAGATGGATCTAAGACCCCCGTCCTTCTGGATTCATGCTTCCTTCAGGGTGTTCATCATTATTAATGCTCTCTATTACCTGCCACACTTGAATGGCATTGTCTTCTGACACAGAGCAGAGCACCCAAGGGTTATTGGTGCTCCAGGTGAAATCAGGTATCTTGGCAGTGTGACCACCATGAAGAAACAACTTCAATGTCCCCTCTTCTGCGTCCTCCAAGGATTGTTCCTCTCCAGTTTTACTTAAATCCCATAACTTCAGACAGATCAGTGCCACTGAAAGCCAAAATAGTCTTATTGTGCGGCAACCACTGAACCTGGAATATCTCATCCTTATGTGATTCGAAAGAATGCCACTTGAGTTTCATATTTCTCGGATCCCGCAAGGCAACAGTCTTATCTGCTGACCCTGTGGCAAAGAAAGGCGGTTCACTTCGGCAGTGTGAACATTGACTGAGTGGCCTGGTTTGGAAGTATCATTTGCATGAGTGTCCCAGATCATAAGTTTCTGATCATCAACAACTACCCCAAACAGAAACTCATGGAGCACATGCCAGGGGAACATTTTCTACTACTGTTGTATGCCCTGTGAATGCGGTCTTAGCAGCCACAATTTTTCCTTCCTTTGGAACAGCACTGAGGTCCTGTAGGCAGGTGGCATGGTCATCTGAAGCACTAAGTGCCCGCTGAGAGTTGGTTTTCAAGAAAGCCCATAGCCTTCCTTCTGGTGTCCACAGAGACCCATGTTTGGTAGCACTCTCCAGAAGGATCTGGTTTAGAAGGATGTTCTGTATAGTAAAAAACAAGAACATCACTGGACAGAGTCTTTGTTGCAATGATGCAAGGGTTCCAGGCATACAACGTTCCCCTTTACTTCTCCTTCCGGGTTGACCTTGATTTCTATTTCAATTTGTTTCACTAACAGAGCCAAAACCTCCAAATTCTCCAGTCCTCCTTTCTCTGTTGTAGCGTGAAGTGTCAAACTGAGCATCACTGTTAGGGGGCCGCACACTGGCTATCACAAGGTGGCTTTGTCTATCTGATGTGTGTGTCCCCAGGACAAGTTGGTGAATGATGAAGTCTTTCCCTTCTGGTCTGGTTACATCTGGAAACCACTGTGTAGTTAGGCTGGGCCACTCCAGAGAATAGGTCATTACCCAACTGCAAAGAAAAGAAGGGTTTTTTTTAGTTTTTGTACATTTTGTTGATCACACATTCTTCTATTGCATCATCAAAGGCTGCTTCCTTGT